GTTTAGTATATTATTGTGCGTTACGTGTGTTCTCGGCCGCAGTGGCCATATGGTAAATGTCAAACGACTAGTACGACGTGTACGCGGAGCAGCACAACTGAGGACAGACGGACAGAAAAGAAAGAAGATTACAAAACATTTATAGAATAAACGCAACACCGAAAGGGAACGAGCGCATTACGCCGTCCATTCGTTTTCAGATGGTCTTAAGTCCGACATTGGCTCAGTGGACGTTAAAAGGTTTCCGATCTACGCACTTTTGTCGCGACCGACTATCGCTTGGAGTGATGGCTTAGACTCTGACCGCCGGTGAATGCTTCAAGGGTAGATTTTGTTGGCATGTACAAAGAATTAATCCGGCAAACTTCTAATGTATTATTTTACTATGAATTTTTAATCCACCCCTGTCCACTAGTCGTCATTTACGTCGGTTCTAATTTTCCGGGCTCTCGCGATTATAGAATTGGGTCGACTGTGCGTTTTTTACGCGTGTGTTTGATGTTGGGTTATGATTTCTAGCCCATAAACTTGGCGCGATAAATAATGAACTTTTGTGCGGAGCAACTCGTTTTGTTCAGTATAAAACATTAAAACCTCTTGCAGGTTCCTACGCTTTTTTTCATTATAAAATCTAAGTGAATTGGAATTTTTCATTTTAAAATTAATTTTTATCAAAAGTAGGAATGATTGTGACAGAACAACAACCGTCGGTCTGAGGGCGGGGAGCTCGGCCTCATTAAAAATAATAATTCTTTTAAAAAAAAAAAAACACCACAGTCAGAAAAAACCGCACAACACTTATAAAACACTCAGTCTACAATCATTCTCATCGCGATCGAACGACAATCACCGACACCGCCACCACTTTAGCCGGCACCATCGAAGCAACACACAACACAAAACACTATTATTCATTCATTTGCAATTATTATTATGAATTTTTATTCGAAAGCAAAAACTCTTTGTGCGCTTGCCATTGTGGATTATCCACTTGTTTTCTCCGAGCCTCGTCTATACAAATATACGTTCACACTGATAATTATAATAATAATTCACATTGTATTATATTATTGAAACGTTTCACAGAATCCAAAAAGTGCACCGGCACTTTCGACGCCGTCCACAATCATTTGGCCCGTCTCGCGCTCTGCACACCGGCCGCTTTCGAGAAACGCACTCGGAGATGTGCCACTATTCGGTCCAGTGCAGTTGTTACGCTCAGCGTAATTAACGGGTAACGCTAACCGAATGCCACTTGTCGAGTGTATCGCATTATCGCGCCACCCCATTACGAGTCGTCTTGTTTGTACAGCTCGATTGTCCAATTAAGAACACGTTTTCAAAATTCTAAACTCGACTAGTTTTTTTTTTCCTTTTCACGCACTTCAGAGTTCATACCGACTTGTTTTGACTTGCGTCTCACGTCAATACCGATCAGTCACCGTCGTCGTTTGCGTGACATTACGACATACGCTACTTTTAGATATATTAATTGAAACGTCGTCGGAGATTCGTTTACAATGTACTAATTGTCACTAATGTGATCACGGAGATAGCTGCAGCTGTATAGCGCGCGGATTCACCCCTTTTTTTTTATTTTAAGGATCGAGGGTGGACAACACGCGGTGCACTAGCCAAAAAGCAGCCGTTGCCTACTACGAAATTAGTCCATTTAGCTTATTAGAATACAATTGGACGACGACAACAACAACAAGTGATGTTAATGATTTACATGTAAAGGTGCGCGAGGGATGAAATGAATGGAGCACATGAAAGACTAGTATTATTTGTCAAAAAACAGCACACGGAATTGCAGTGTCCGTTTCGTAGTTTGAGTGCAAATACATTGAGATTATAACGCAACCCTAAAGATTACGAGGGCAAAAGGAGAAAACAACAAACGTTTAGGAACAATAACGTACTGAAATCTCAAACAACAGGAACATCGAAGAGTACCGTAATTAGAGTAATTAACTTATGCTTGTCCAAGGAAAAGTGCATTAAATTTATGGTACTCGTGACTTATGCTAATTTGATGGGCGTGTGCATAATATTCTCAAGCAATTGTTAAGACTTTTGTTCAAATAGTTGTTGCGCATTACTTCTCAGGCTGTTGGTACGCGAAATATCTAATGATTTAAATAGTCCTATCCGCACCTTTGCTGCAGTTTATACTTGAAAACCTTTATGACTTCCGAAGTACAAAAGTTGTTACCGATCCGTTATTTTCTTAATTAGATATCATTTTATAAACTAATTAAATATGTATTTCGCCATTTATCTATTAGTTTAACTATATTTAAGTTGAGAAACCGTAATATTCTAATCAATATTGTATTTATTGGCAAGTAATCGAGTGGTGTACGATAAACTGATCACTCTTAATAATACATTACTGATTTTATTGTTTTATTTTTCATTATAAATTCACGGACATATGAATTAGTGTTATTATACAACGCGAAACTTGCGAAATAATACCCCCGGGAAAAAAAATTAAAAACCTAATCAAATAGTATTTGTCTCTTATAATGGACTTAGGTGTGTGTTGTATGATTATAATAGTAATAGGAGTTGTGTCCATTTGTGGCAAGGGCGACGATAGCGATCGTAAATCGGTGACACGTGCCCGTGGAGATGAGCAGTGGGTCCGTGTCTCGTAGTATATTAGCCCAGGATTAAATAGAACTCTTTGATTTTGGGTATGTTTTTGGGGTTATATGAAAAAAGAAAAATGAAGTATGAAAAGTATTGCTAATCCGAAATAATCATAGCTGTGCTGCGTTTGGGGACAGTTATAGCCAAAGCATAACGTACAATATATAATAATCTAAAACAAATGTTGCGTCATCGTATCGGTTGAAAAGGACAGGGAAGGAAAGAGGACCAAAATGTAGAAACTAAATATAATAGAGAATAATTAGAACGTGGTCTCATTGTTTGCACTCGGTGTACCACTCCAAAAAAAAAAAACCACACACACTCGCATAAGGGTTACACAGTTTCTCTTTGAAGTATATTGTCAATACTTACGGTCCGCGTGTGCACATCACGAATCAGCGTCGTTCTTTATGTACCGCATAATATTGCGTTGTATTGAAATCTCTCGTTTTTGTATTTTGATTGCCCCAGAGATGTTTGTGCCCGTCGTTTTTTCGGCGTCTGTGTACTGTGTCATTGCCGTGTTTAAACAACAACGTCGTTCGCATTGTGATTATTGTTGATAGAAACAACAACATTTGTCCTTAAAAAAAAAAAAATTATTATTTTATTTCAATTCTGTTTGAGCAAGGGTTTCATTAAAACCTTCTGTGTGCGTCGATTGTAATTTTAAATACCTTCTTTGAAATGAAAGTATTAGCACGAAAGTTGAACGCAAGTTTACTGATAGATCCTCAAGGGATCCCAAAAAAAAAGTATATATAAAGCAAATTGTGGCTATAGGGGTTGGTTGACAAGCTGCACACCTTTATTTTGTTTTTGTTGTTGCGATAAAACAACAATAAAAACAAAAAAAAGGAACGAGAATATTATTACTGATGAGCCGAGGAAATTTATAAATATTCAATTGATGGCGATGAGCAGAATAGAAGTGATGGAAAGACGCAAAGTAAACGTGATTCGGATAAAATCTACAAGCGAGCTCGTTCAATATTCATAAATGTGACCGCCCTCGAAAAATAATAAAGTAAAACGAAAAAAACCTTTGCGCGCTCCAGTTTTGGCCACTTTTCGCCAAAAAAAGAATTATTTAAAAGCGTTTTCTCATTATTCTCGGGCACGTAGCACATGGGTCACATGAATAAGTCAGTAGAACGTCGAAATGGCTTCTAAGTGCTTTTGTCGGTGGCAAATAAAACAGAATAAATAAACCTCTTAACCTGTTTTGTATGAAAATGCGATGAATATGCGAAAATCGCATACTACTTATAATCTAATAAAAAATATTCACCCGCTATTGTTGCATACTTTTAAAATTTTTTTGCTGATAACGATTAATATTTTCTTTAATTTTCGTTCCGTCAGTGTACATTGTCCGGTTGAATTATATCATGTTTGGTCGAATAATTATCAACTGCGTGAACGTTGTGCTCGTTGAGCGATTCGTCGGATGGAAAGAGAGAAATGCACCGATAAAGTCAGAAGCGTTAAACAATCTAATAAATAATAATAAATCTAACGAATTGGATGGTTGCCGCCGATGTTTCTCTTCGGTTTCCTCGGCCCTTTGGTGGATACACTGCGGCGATATTATTATATTTTAAGTACTGGATCGTTGCCACGTTTTCGCACTTTGTCTTTCGGCCATAATCTTTTTAAAATGCGTGTGTATCTTCACTTTTTCCGTGCACATCTCTGACACGTCTACGTGGACAGACAAATGATTTACAACCATCAGCGCATTACCTATAAAAGGATCAAATATTTTTATGTTACCATTATTTTCACTCTTTGAAAATGTATTTGATCCATAATGCATATGCGAATAGAGCAAAATCAAAGAACGCAAATCATTGATAAACTTAGTGCAATTAACATCAAGTTTTAATCTTATTAATACATGTGACATTTTTAATGCTTTAATTATTAAAACAAAATACGAAACGGAATCCTATTTTTAGAAATAGAATAACAAATTGTCATTTGTGAGGTAGCTCTCAAAAAAAAAATTATTTTTGCGACATCCACATGTTATGTTAACAATTTCTGAATCATTTCGACTTCCAGCAATCCGGATGTCATTTATTTTGATGTTTTTTTTTGTGAATTTATTTGCCACCATGTAACATTAATTATGTATGGTCAAAATAAGTACAACATAGTCGTCAACACGTGTTTACCAACGACTATATTTAAGTTTTCAACAATTGCAATAGGTTACAAAATCATTTTTCTAAACCAACCATTTTATATAAGAATATTTATTTCTTATTGATAATATTATGAAAAATATTTGTATTTTTGTAAAATAATAATTTTGGTGTGTATTTTTTTATCAGAGCCAGTTCAATCATCTCAAAGGTTTACCTGGTTTAACTCATCCTCAGTCGCTATTTTTCTTGCCGTTGTTAGATCAGTTACGTGGCTTATCACAGTGCAATAATGCCTCCACAGCGATGCAACAGGGCAATCAACAGCTTCAAGCTACCACGATAGCCTCAACAAATTGCAATGTAAGTACTTTTACTAGTATTATTAGAAAATATACTCTCTATAGATAGAAGTTGTGGTATTTTTTTAAGAATAACAGCAGTACAACAGTTTTGCTGTTAAAATTTATCGAGTTCAGTTTCATATATACATTTGCTTAAAATATTTATTTAGCTTATAACATGGAAGTTTGTTGTACTCTTGACGTTTTAGATTTTTATATCATTTGTCACTTGACTAAATTTCAAATTATATTCTTTGCTATTAGTAGAGTACTACTAATATTTTATATTAGTAGTTAGNAAATTTATCGAGTTCAGTTTCATATATACATTTGCTTAAAATATTTTATTAAAACCTATTGTTCTTTTAAGCATATCTCTTTTTTTATATATCTGTTATTGAGCAAATAAACGTAATTAATACGTGAATATATTCACGTATATTTGTATGTTTATGTTTTAAGATACATTAGAATGGTTTATGAAGAATAATAGTTACGCCATCATCTACATAAGTACAACCTTTTTAAAGTTACTACCCTATTGTGTTTAATTATATCTTAACGTGTCTATCTAGTTCACGTAAGATATATTAATTGCATGCTACCTAATACCATATGCTTTATTACATTACATGAATGTTCATTTCTATTTTTAGTAGGTATATATATTAAAAAAAAAATATTTTTTTCTTTTTATAGAGTATCCCTACACCAGTATGGCCCAACACTAGGCCACCGTCTTCATCTTCAGCTAGCCCATGTTCTTTGCGCCAAGATGGTGCAGGTACTCCACAACAGTTGGTATCTACTGCCGATCCAGATGCCCCTTTGAACTTGACCAAACGTAAATCACCAACTCCACAACCTTTAGATCACAAACATCAGAACCAACAGCATTTGGCATCTAATATGTTTCCACCAAGGAGTACACCACCAGCGAGTGGAGTCTGGAACTCAACATCACCACCAGCTACAACTCCTGGATCAGCCAATAGACGTTCTGGGTCCGGTCAAGGGCTGGTTAGCCCTCCGGCTGCAGCCACCCCTAAGCTTCTACCACCACCCATTCCTATGCCCAGAGGTTTTATGCCATATGCTGGTATCCCACCACATTCTTCTGGTAAGCTTAAGATAAAGTTATTTAATAAGGTTATAGTTAAAATAATATAATAACCAGCTTCATAAATCTAAGCTTTTGTTCTAATTTCAAACTGTTTTTACTTAGCCGGTAAACTGAGTCTATCTCCCGGTAAAGATGGAGACAAAATATCACCATATTCCGGACTTCAGATGTATGCACAACATTCTTCTCAGTTACATAGAGATGAACATTCCGAAAGCATGGATTTACGTACGTATTGTTTAAGCAATTAATGTACAAGAGTAATTTAATACTAATTCCTTTTTAAAATGATTTTGAAAGTATTTAAAATAATAAAGTCTCCAGAAAATAACTTCGTTAAACAGTCAAACTAGACTGTGATAGGATCATTTGGGGAGATTTAGATAACTTTTTTCCTAATCACATCAAATAGAAATAATTTATCTATTATTTATTTTTTTTTTTTTTTTTTTTTACAGCATGGGGACCTAATGATCCAAATTTTAAACTAGCTGATGAATCGGGTGATAGAGGTAAGTTTTAAATAGTAAAGTTTATATTCGTATAATGATTAACGAATTCAATTTATTTGTTGCAGGCCGAATGATACGGCAACAGAAAAAAGACGGTGAACATATAAAGAGACCAATGAACGCATTTATGGTTTGGGCTAAAGATGAAAGAAGAAAGATCTTAAAAGCTTGCCCAGACATGCACAATTCAAACATTTCCAAAATATTGGGTATGTCTAATCTACTTGATGAAATAATAATTCAAAATAGTATAACATTTTTTTATTAATAAACTTCTTTGCTCTCTAGGTGCTCGATGGAAAGCTATGACAAATGCTGACAAACAACCTTACTACGAAGAACAATCAAGGCTATCCAAATTACACATGGAAAAACACCCAGACTATAGGTATAGACCTAGGCCGAAGCGAACGTGCATCGTGGATGGCAAAAAGATGAGGATATCAGAGTACAAAACTCTGATGCGACAACGGCGAAATGAAATGCGTCAGCTGTGGTACAGAGGTGAAGGAGCAGGTCCATCCGGTTCTGGTGACGTGGCAGGCACAAGTTTTGGATATCCACCGGATGGATCTATATCGCCATCAGACATGATGTATTCACCAGTAAATTCGCCGTCTTATGGCGAAAACAGCCATGACGAAGATTAAGTGAAGCAGCTCCATGACACACAAATTATGTTAAAAAGGTCACATCTCGTTGATTTATACAAAAAATTAACTGTTGTACCTTATTTTTTATCATTATTATTTATTTAAATAAGAATCTAAAATAAACTTTATTGTTATTTTGTTATGAATTATAATTATTATTTTTTATTATTTTTTTAACAGCTCTCCTCTAGGAATTAATTAGGGCCAGTACTGCTATGTTTTAAGTGCAGAAAAAATAGGGAAATGTGTATATTGTATTTTTTTTTCTTGTGTATAAGTTTACTATTAAATCTACTCTGTTCCAATTATAATATGTAATTTAATAATTATGCCCAATATTAAATGTTGTGGTTATTTAGATATAATATTAATAGGTTTTAATTTTATTCCATTATATTTCTTAGTTCATAATACTTTTTTGTGATAATAATATTTTTATTTACGCGTACAGTATAATATATAATAATTTGTATTAAAAATAAGTGTAATTGTATAGAAATAATTGTTATTAAAAGATTCGTATGTAAATGGCATATTTAATTATACAATGTACAATGACGGTGCGTTAGCTTGCTACTTAAATTTGTTGAACTTGAAAATATGTTCAATATTATAAATTATTGAAATATTTTAAACAATTGGGTGGTGCCAAATAATTATAATTAGTACAGACGAATGTCGGCCTTATGATCTCTGTTTTATTTTAATGTGTCTGTAATTAATTATTGTGAATAATTTTAATAATATTAAATGGACAAAAATTTGTTTTTAGAGAGTTCAAAATATTAAAAACTAAAAAACGAGTTTTTAAGTAAATATTATGCAGTGTAATGTATAAAAGTAGACTAATTTTAATTTTATTGAAAAGAGTTAACAATTTTTGTTTGCAGAAAAAATTTACATTTCTCTAAAAAGAAATGTATCTTGTATTATTATTATGTCACCTATAAAATTAGATAATACAGTAAATTCTATATATATTTTTTTGCAAACATTTTCGTTATAAATTAAAAAAATTACAATAACTTAATGTTAAGCCATAGACAATTTGTTTGCAAAATTAAAGTCTATTTAATTTTTTAACAAAAATTTTTACTAAATACTTTTCAAACCGAAATTTAAATTAGTATCTCATGAACGAGTAGAAAACATAATGTATAGACCGAATTTGTTAATGAATAGCAAATAAAAACAAAATTTTTATACAACATTTATCGCAAATAGATGAAATCTTTCTTTTTTCGATATTATTATATGTATATGAATATAAGAAGTATTTTATAACCACGTGTGTTGTATTAGTGTGTGTATAAATTAGATAGGTAGTTATTTATTTTTCAATATTTGTCTGAATTATTATACTGAAATTATCATTCATTATCATAAATAAGTGTTAAAATAAAATAAAATTAGTAAAATATTTAACGTTGTTCCATTTTTTAAACCTATAATATTTTAAGAAAATTAAAATTATCTTAGAAGTAAATGTATTAAAAGTGAATTCAATCAACTCTATGTTTTAAATTTTATAATATAAAAATATTTAAAAAGTTATTTTTATTTGTGATTATGTTATGAGAATTGCATGGACTTATTGTAGGCAAAGTCGGTTCTACCTACAAACAAAAGAGCACTGCTTATATCCCTCGAAAAAATTCATCCCAATAAATTTCTAGTATTTAAACAAATATTCACAGAGTGCCGTTTTCAGAGTTTTATAGCTAAGGAGTTGAACTTAAAAGTCATGTATAACATCCACTCAAAACTGTATGTTAAAGATAATATATATATATATTATAGTAAGAGATTGTCTATGCCATTATTTTGATGGCTCGTCGCAATCCTATTTTTTATAGGATTATTTTCACAGTCATCGCGATTATGGTTAGGCGCAAAGGCGTATCGGGACGTGTGTGTTTATATCACATTGCAACATGGTAAATTTTTCGCGACAAAAAGCTTAATTTGAATTTTACAAAATTAATGTCTTAAGGTATTCAACGTCTCGCTAACAATTTTAAATGACTGCCTACATAATTTAATGACATATCCCAAAAATGGTACCTACCATAAATAATTCTTACGAGTTGCTTAAACTTAAGTTATATTAGCTTCGATGCGAAGCTGAGAAGGTATTGGTTTTACTAAGATGTGTTTTTTATTTTTTACTTTTTTTTTTTTGTGTCTGTTACCACTTTTTCTCAGCTCTCACCGAACCGATTTCTTTCAATGATACGTCAAAAGATCACAAATCGTATCTAGTCGAAGACAATACCCTCAAAAATTGAAAAAAATTCCCTCGTTCCCCGTAAATGGGAGAAACCTCTGAAAAAATTACAAATTTAAAAATGGCTAATTTTCGACATTTTTTCAATTTTTTTTACTAAAAACTGCCGTAACTTTTTTAAAAATAAACATATCAATATAACTCTTTTTTTTATAGATGCATGATGTCTTTACCTATCATTTGGTATATTTTTTTTATAAATCTGACTTTTTACCTGCCCACAGGGGGGGATTTAAAATGACAACTTTTTTACAAAAAATTTACTTTTTCAACTTAACTTTTGAAAATGTTCCGGAAGGTCTGACACTTTTATATATATCTTAAATTAAAGCTAATGTAATGTACTTTGTTATGAAAAAAAAAAAATTTCGGACACTATCTTATCTTCATGACAAAAATGGCTACCGAATGCTATTTTTGTGTGAAAATTTTCGATTTTGTATTTTACATTTTTAACTTTATTATGCTATAACTTATTGAAAAATGTATGGATCAACATAATTTTTTAATGAGAAATAATATCTTTTAATAATCCTATTTTCATTCGTCATGCTTTATCTAAATCAGGATATTAATAACGAACTAGCAGATCATGTTGCTTTTGGAATAATCCACCAATTTTTTAAAATTAAACACTTTCTAAAGATTTGTATCGAAGTCGGTTTTCAATTTTTTCAAATTTAATGTTATTTTAAAGTTTAAAACGTGTTATTTGATTTAAGACACCATTATTTATATATACTGCAATTGAATTAAAGAGTGAACATAATTAGATAAAGCTATTGACCAAAAAAAGTTTTACAAGATATACATTAATGTCAGTGTACAATTTACTAGATGATCAAGGGTGGGAAACAAGTATGTGATCATTGCAATATTTAAATGGAAAAAGTTTTAGTAAAATTTCCTTTGAACAATTGAATGAAGTACCAGAGTACAATAAAAAATGCCATAGCTCAATGGTTTGTTAACGGAGAAAATATTTTAAATCTCTAAGTTTCCTAACAAATACTGTCTCGTACGAGGCAGCAAGACGGCTAGTAGTTTACCTTAAGCCTGTTTAAATCGCTATTATTGAAGCAGAAGAGAGGTCACCTGAGAGCATAACGGCTAACCGCATATCTAATAAGTAACAAGAGTACACAATAATTAAATAACATATAACCACATATATTAGAAGTTCTTCAAAGAGTATATTAAATTTAAGGAATAACGGGGGGCCCTTAAATACTAATGGCCAGCGAAGCGGCATAAAGTAAAATAATTAAATTCAATTAAAACAAATAATAAGTAACATTAAAAAATAATATGAAACTCAACTGAATAGATGATGTAGTTGATAGTGATGAGTGGACTGTATGATATCTTGTGGTAATAGTGTCTAACATCTGAGTATCACGAGTCAGAGTGTAGATTCAGGCACGTAATGGCAAATGAACACAGACGGCGGAAAAGCGACTACGGCAGTGGAGTTATTTCGCGATGGTCACTGGAGGCGTGCAAAGGCACAAGAACTTTAAGCACAAGGATGCAATAAACAAATAATAAGAATAACGGCGTACGATGGCCGACACATTCAAGCGAATGCGCTTTCTACAAAAAAGAGTGACACACATAAAACAATTGACTCACTGACTTAAAACAACAAACTGTACACGGATGACAATTGACACGGAGGTAATCGATTTGCAATGCTGGGTGGGCAAGAGGGTGAGTAAAGCAAAGACACTAGAGATCAGCTGTCACACGATTTAATAAATCAATGGTGTTTGTGACCACTGGTCCACTAAGTCTTTGCTAAAGGCGTTCTCTACCAAACAAATACTAAAGGAACACATTTTTTTTAAACACCAATTTAGTAGATGTTTGTTCAATTTCATTAGAAATCAATTTTTGCTTATTGCCACCTAATACCGATTTCTCCACTACTCTTCCATGTGAGAAGTAACTTTTTCATTACACCCAAATATACATAATATCCATAGAATATATTATAATCTATAGGGAAGTTTTAAGCTACATCAATACAAGAAATATTAATAATCGAAGATTATAAAATTGGTGTATAGAAATATTCGTGACTTTGATTAATAAATCTTAGTGAGAACTTTTAAAACACTCCAAGCCAGAAAAAAACATGTCTTAATAAGTAGACAACATGTACTGACATCTAAAACTGTCATTTAAAAACTAGTATGACCTTTTGTTTTTAATAAAAAAGAATTTTACAGATGTCACAACAAAATGCAACAACATTAATCATTTTATTATAATTAATTCTTTATTAACATCAAAACTACTGTAATTATATTACAAATTAAATCAGTAATTTTTTTAATAAAATCCTTCATGAAATTATTACTACCTAAAGGTATTTCCTGACTCTAATATAAGCTAATGGAAAATACAGCTTGATTTATTAGCCTAATATGTTAATAAAAAAGTACTACCAAAACTTTGGCCTAATTCTAATCATAAACGTTTATTATCTTATTGTATAATTAGTAAAGTTTTTATAAATCAATTTTCTAATATTATATTTTATTCCAAAATGATAATATATTCCAGTAGACACTTTTTTTACAGCAATACACAGGCTAAAAGGACTATTAGTTTTAAGTATTATCCTAGCAACAATGGGAAAGTCATCAAAACAATCTAGATTATTTTTAATTTTTAATAAGCATGACAATGCAATGCTACATTATAATTAATTTACTTCGCATATATAATTTATTATTTTCCCTAGCTATTTTATAATTGGTTCTGAAATCAATTTTGGAAGTAATAAAAAATTTTACAAAAATTGTAATGACCCCAAAGTTACTTTAACGAAAATTGCTGGATTACCTTAATTTTAATTTATATCCATTTAATGAGTACTAAAGTTACATAAATAATTATTTCTGTTTGTTAAAATTACAGAAATTTTAATAGAACTTACCTCTAGCAATATAATCTGCCACACAAGATAGGTGTTCTATTGAATTATTTTCTTCTATTAACCTCTTACGTTTAATAAATTTACTTTTAAAAATTGTTTAATGTATTGAGTACTATATCTACTACAGTAAGGACAAAACTATAACCAGCAAAAATTTAAAATGTTCAGTATATCAACTAAACCTTATTATTTAGTCTAAAAATTAATGTAAATAATTTAAATCTATAAAAAGAGCACTTGCAGATAGGATTAAAATTGTTGACGCGTATTTATAACACTTTATAATTAATTGCACAATTAAACAATACAAACAATTATTGACAAATTCAAAATCATTATGAAATAAACACAATTCATTAATACCGGTATGAGGTTACAGGTAAAGAAAATTGCAGTTCATTGGGACTGTATCGAGACGATAAGAAAAGTAAGAGTAAAACAACGTAATATTGTTGATAACAGGAAAAAGCGAAGGGGTCAAACTATTCTTATTGGTTTAATACGAAGGCATTTTTAAGAAACTGATAATCGTAGGAAATC